GATGCATTATGTAAAGGTACAATTCCCAATGAGAAATGTAATTGTGTTGTATACCTACAATGTACCAATAAAAGAATTTAATAAAAAAAAAAGAATGAATTGATCACTTAAAATGTATTTTCTTTAAACACCTGTCAGTAAAGCCTACTATGGACATCATTTTCACCAGCATCCTTTGGTCAGTTTCCTGTGGTTTTCTGATAATGCTGGCCATCAGTGCAGACCGTTGACGGAGTGAGATTACACATCCAGAGAACCAAGGAGCATCTCGTGAAGCCACTGAGGGTGATCACAGAACACTGCTAAGCCATTGTAAATCTGGATCTAGCAAAGTTAAACCATGTGAACACTTGAAAAATGACTTAAAGATAACTGGCATGCATGATGATGACAACAGTTTCAAAAGAGATTGATAGAAATATGAAAGAATTAAAATCTGAGTTACTTGGAAAAATCAATGAAAACTTTAAATATTAAAAACTGGTAATCTTATCATCTAGCTTTGAAAGTCAAATAGGAAGTAAAGGATGTTGTATAGGATGTTTAATCTTGGTGCCATTTAATTGTTACACAATTAGGCAAGTCCTTGTAGCAGGTACTTTGAATTGCAATAAAAATTGGTTAAATCAAAGGCAAAGGATACTTAGTTTTGTAATTGTGGTTTCATTTCTCAGGTTGAAGTCTTATACATACCTCATCATTCCTTGTAGTATAAATTACGAACTTTTGATTCTCATTTAAAATGGATTCAGTAGCCTCTTCCTGGTACCATTTGTTCTTTGAGAACTGGAGTCATGGAATGTGGCAAGGATAATATTTAGAAGTCTGCTCTGTTCAGGGGTCAGGGTAGGACAGAGGAAGGAGGGGTGAGTAGGGAAATGCAGGCTTTCAGAAGGAGGAGATGTCTAAGATGGGGTTTCTCACTGGCAAACTAAGGGTGATGTGATGGTTAGAGAAATATGGAGAAATGTCTGCCAAGGCAACTAGTAAGAGTCTGGCTTTAGGGTTGTGTATGTTTTGTTCAAATCCCTGTTCTGTCTTTTACTTCCTCTGTGAAATAAGGCAAATCGCTTCTCTGAGTCTGATTTCTTTTTTTGCTGTGCTGGGGATAGAATCCAGGGCCTTGTGCATGCTATGCAAGCACCAAACCACTGAGCTACATTCTAGCCTTTTACTTTGTATTTGGAAATAGGATCTAACTGAATTGCTCAGGGTGGCTTGATGCTTGTGATCCTCCTGACTCAGGCTCCTGAGTACCTGGGATTACAGGTGTGTGCTACCTTGCCTAGCTTCTGAGTCTGATTTCTTACTTAGAAATTTATAAATAGAAAAATTAGCAAATTATAGATCTAAATTATAATGAAATAATAATGGCATCTCTGTTCTACTCTCTTCCCTTAGAACCTGTAGATAGATAGCTTATATCCCTATTGTGATATTGTTTCCATTATCCTTAGTTGGGGTGGAAGAATTGGAAATAGATGCCTCTTGCGCTGGGGAGTTGTTGTCAGTGAAAACCTAGACACATTAACCAGTTATATATAAGCATGGCCATCTCTAACACTTGTGAACAAGTTTTTTGCTAATGTTTTCCTGCTGCATTCTGTGGTGGGGGAAGGAAAAAAGTGATACTAGCTACAGAGTGCTGCCATAAAGAATCCATGGCGAGAAAAGGCCACACCTCCTGACTACAGAGCAGAGAGGAGGGCTGGGCAGCTGTTTTAAAATCTTTTAATTCAGAGAATGGAAAATGTTTTTCAGTTTTGCAGCTGTTAGCAGTTAATTTGCTGTGTACCAAACACCTTGCATTGTCTCACTTCATGTGCATTTTAAAATAGGGGCTACTATTGCCACCATTTTCCAGATGAGGATATTGAGGCTTAGACAGGCTAGGTAACTTGGCCAATGCTTCCCAGGTAACAATATGTAAAATTCTAATGCAGGTATCATTTCAGAGTTAGTGATCTTAATCGGTATACCTAACTTCTGGTTACTGTACCTTTGCAGTTCTACTTGCAGCATGGATTGTCTTTTACTTATAAAATTAGCTACTGTCAGACGATCCATGTTTGCAAGGCTGAGTTAAGATGAGATTATTTATCATATTGGTAGAAGAAAAGAATGTGGATAGAACAGGCCAGACAAGCAATGTCAGCCTGCGAAGTCACTGTTTATTCATCAGATATTTGCCTAGCATACTTTGTATAAGGCAATATTTTGAATGAGAAACATATGGTTCCTTTTAGGAACTCCCATTTATTAGGAGGCAGATACAGAAAGAAGTGATACCACAGTAAGAAAAGGGCAGTACCACAGGAGTATATGAAGTGTGGCCATTATACAGGGATGATCAGCTGTATTTTTAAAAAAATTTATTTATGTATTTTTTGGTACCAGGGATTGAACTCAAGACCTTACACTTGCAAGGCAGGTGTGGCACCACTGAGCTGAATCCCTGCCCCCTGATTAGCTCTGTTTAAAAAATTCAGGGATGGTTGTACACAACAAGATAACCTAGGAGGCTGATCTCCATGGACAACATCAAATGGCAAACTTGCCTCTGACTTTTAGATGAATTTGGCCACAGGGGAGCACTGGTAGGGGATCAGAGGGAGGGAAGGGAGGAATGCTAGACAGTTTATTCCTTCAGATTTCTACTTGTGGGGTTATCATGTGCAGCCTTTATTTTCCTCCTGAAAGTGATTGTTCTTGTTAGATGGCCCTCTCTATATAGTTCTTTCTTTCTTTAGTAATTGTTTTCTTTTCAAATAATCTCTGTATTAAAATTTCCACAAGTTACCCAATTTGAGTACCATTTTATTCCCATGACCATGATGGAAATGATTGTATTTTTATTTGAGAAAAATTACTTAGGTAGTAAGGTATAATAGCCATTACAAAGGGATACAAGAAAGTACCGAGACCAAAGAAGACAATACCATAATACTGGTAAAAATGACTGGACATGAACTTGGATTATTGATGGTGGAAAGAAGAGGAGGGATGTACAAGATATTTGCAGATAGAATTACTATGACTCAGAGCAACCCTTGTAACCAATCAGATTTATTCTCAGGAAACACTATTAGGTGCTTTAGTTCATTTTTCAGTTACTATAACAGAATACCTAGGATGGAATACAGTTGTGTGAGTGTAACTTTCATCAGTTCATGCGGGTGGAGTCACCATGAACCAAAACCTCCCTAAGTCTACATTTACGTTCCACTTCCCAACACTGCCATACTGGAGACCATTTGCTAACAGGAATTCTGAGGACACATCCAAACAATAGAACTAAGTAAGGTGAAATTCTATCTTGTGTTTTATTTCATTAATTTCATGAAAAGTGAAGACCTACAGATAAGTAGAAGAGAGGCACATAGGATAGGTGCCCCCCAAACTTTAAAATAATATGACATGGAGGTAGGCTGGGGGGAATCAGCAACAGTTCGGGTTTTTAAAGGTTTCATAGTCCTGTCCCACTGGGTCAGGATGGCGTTTCTGGCTCCATCCCATTTTCCAGGGCCCACTAGGCGGTACTGGTAAGGGGTACATGGTCCAAAAAAAACTTGCCAAGCTAGTCTGGGGTCCTTGAGGAACAGAAACAGGATGTTGGGTCTTGCGCCTATGCATGCAGCAAGCTCATCCATGTAGCTGATGTAGTTGAGTTTGTCTTGACTGGTATCTTTAATCACACCCCTGTGAGGAAAGAAAATGGATGAGTTTTATCAATCACTCCCTGCCCTGCATTTCTCAAGTTATAAGGTCCACCCTTCCCCACCAGTGTGTTGCTTCATTTCCACAATCAAACTATGTTTGGGAATGTGTTTTTGTGTTGGGAAGAAAAAAGACAGAATGACCTACAGAGAGGGTATATATGAGAGGAATTAACTTGTAAAAGGAGGTAATTGGGAGAGAAACTTTGTTTTCAAATTTGATACGAGGATTAAATCTGATCAATTCAAATACAGAAGTTGATGAATAAACAGGATCAGAAAGCATCACACATGTGTATACCTGAATTTTGAACCTGATGTTAATTTTGCATTGAGAGAGCCATACTTAGTACACTAGGATTGAACTTGACACAGGTCATGAGCATAGTACACGTGAAACCATTAGTCACATGTGTATCTATTGTTAGTAAACTTTCATGATGTTGCAATGTCATTTATTAAATAAATAGATAAATAACAGGATACAGAATCAACATTAAAAATCAATAACTTTTCTGTACACCAATAATAGACTAGCTGAGAATGAAATTAGAAAAACAATTCCATTCACAATACCTTCAAAAATTTAAAATACTTAGGAATCAATATAAACAAAAAGGTGAAAGAACTCTACAATAAAAATTACAAAATGCTGAAGAAAGAAGTGGAAGAAAATAATAGAAGATAGATATCCCACATTTGTGGACTCGCAGAATTAATTTTGTTAAAATGGTCATATTACCAAAGGCAATCTATATGTTCAGTGTAATCTCCATCGAAATTCCAATGATGAACTACACAGAACTAGAAAAAAAATCCTAAAATTCATATGGAAACACAAAGGCTCAGCATAACTAAAGCAATTCTAAATGAAAAGACCCAGGGTAGAGGCATCAGAATAGCTTACTTCAAATCATAATACGAGACCATAGTAACAAAAACAGCATGATACTGGCACGCAAATAGACACAGAGGCCAATGAAACAGAAGAAAGGACACAGAAACAAACCCACACAACTACAACCATCTGGTGAAAAGACAGTCCCTTTAACAAATAGTGCTGTTGCTGAACATGGCGATGCACACCTATATTCCCAACACTGGGGAAGCTGAGGCAGGAGAATTGCTATGAGTTGGAGGCCAGCCTGCACTACATAGTGAGCTCAAGGCCAGCCTGAAGTACATAGCGAGACCCTGTCTCAAAACAAAACAAACCCCCCCCAATAAATAGTGCTAAGAAAACTTGATATCCATATTTAGAAAATTGAAACTAAATCTCTGTCTCTTATGCTATACAAAAATAAAATCAAAATGGACCAAAGACCTAGATATAAGGTCTGAAACTTTGAAACTGCTAAAAGAAAACATAGGGGAAATATTTGAAACCACAGGCACAGCAAAGATTTCCCCAGCAGTACTCCAACAGCACAGGAAGTCATAGTAAAAATCAACAAATGGGATTATATCAAGTTAAAAAGTTTCTGCACAGCAAGAAACACAACCAAGGGGCCGGGGATTTAGCTCAGTGGTTCCGCCGCCTGCTCAGCAAGTGCCAAGGTCCTGAGTTCAATCCCTGGTACCAAAAAAAAAAGAAACACAACCAATAGAGTGATGAGACAGCCTAAAGAATGGGAGAAGATCTTTGCTGGCTACTTTTCTGACAGATGATTAACATCTAGAATATATAAAGAACTCAAAAACGACACCAAAAATCAAACAGCCCAATTAATAAATGGGTAAATGAATTGAACAGACCTTTCTTAAAAGAAGTACAAATGGCTAATGTATATGAAAAAATATTCAACACCTTTAGGCATTAGAGAAATGCAAATAAAAACTACATTGAGGGCCGGGGATTTAGCTCAGTGGTTCTGGCACCTGCCTTGCAAGCACAAGGACCTGAGTTCGATCCCCAGTACCAAAAAAAAAAATACATTGAGGTTCTGTCTTGCTCCAGTCATAATGGCTATCATCAAGAATACAAAAAACAGTAAGGGCTGGTGAGGATGTAGGGAAAAAGAACTTCTACACAGCTGGTGAGGATGTAAATTACTACAGCCACTATGACTCATCTATACCACTCATTGGTATATACCCAAAGGCATTAAAGTCAGCATACTACAGGGATACCTGCATACCCATGTTTATTGCAGCATAATCCACAATAGCCAATATATAGATCTCCCTAGGTTCCTATCAACAGATGAATGAATAAAGAAAATGTGGTATATACTCACAATGGAATATTATTCAGTCATAAAGAATAAAATGATGTCATTTGCAGAAAATGGATGGAACTGGAGATCATCATGTTAAGTGAGATAAACCAGACTCAGAAAGACAAGTATCACATGTTTTCCCTAATTTGTGGAATCTAAAAAAGATTACATGAAATCTAAAAAAGATGACATGAATGTAGACTATTATTAGACAAGAGGAAAGGAATGAGGAGAAAGGGATTTAAGGGAAGGTAATGAAAGTGGAAATAAAGAATTATTAATTATATCATCAAGAAATCATGATGTTGACATGAATTTATTGAGGTGAAAAGTTGTCTACTACACTTCATTTGGGAAACAACAGGTGTTATAGCTTGTATCTAGTTATTCCTCCAATGCCTCATGTGCTCATAGGTAGGGATTTTTGGAGTTGGTTTGATCTAGGGCAGGTGATACTGGGATTAAGGGTGTGTGGTACTAAATTAGTCCACTGCCTGGAATTAGCAGAGTTCTGTGTGTGGATGATGGGAAGGCCGACCCTGGGTGTGGATGGCACCACCCAAAAGGCTTGTGGCCTGGATGGGATAAAAGAGAAAGGGAAACTTGCTTCGCTGTTGCTGCTTCTTCTGCTGCTGGTTGCTTCTTTGTTGTCTCCTCCTTGCTCTGCCATGAACTGTTTCTCCTCTGTGAAGCCCCTCTGTCTGCCATGGCACCCTGCCTTGGAGCCAGCCAACTGTGAACTGAAAAACTTTTACAAACTGTGAGCCAAAATAAACCTTTCCTCCTTTAACTTCAGGTTTTGGGTATTTTGTCTTAGCAATGAAAAAAGTAACCAAGACAGCAGGTTACAAAATAGTGTATATGCCATTGCCAACTTTTATTTTGAAAATGCATTTATATAGACTGATATCAAGAAATAGTCTAGGATGATCTTCACTTAAATGTTTTAATCTATCTCTGGGAGAGACGCTGAGCACATTTTTAAGAGTATTTTTTGACTTGTATAATTATAAAATGTTTTCAGCAGAGGAAATTAATAATTTTTAAGTATGTGAGGTAATTGATTATAATGATTGTAATAATTTCATAAAGTATACCTATCTCAAATCATCAGGTTGTACATGTTAAATACATATGATTTTATTTCTTAATGATATTGAATAAAATGTTTTTTTGTTGTTGTTGTTGTTTTTTGAATAAAATATTTAAGTGAAGAAAATAGACAAATAAATAAATAAGCAAAACCTTCCAGGCATCATTCTAAGAACTAGGGATTCAACAGTGAACAAAGCAAAGTTGTCCTTGTTGTGAGAGTTTACACTCTAATGGGGGAAGCAACAGAGCGTGAAAAAGCCCAGCCAGACTGATATGTAATACATCAGATGATCATGGGGGTTATGAGAGGGGTAAAGGAGGGCCAGGCGGAAGGAACGGGTGGCTTCTTTCCTATAATGTCGTCAAAGAAGGCTTCTGTCTATGAAGCAACATTTGAATACATGAGCATGTAGGCAGCAGAGGGAAGATTAAATGCCGAGGCTCAAAGGGAGTGATGGTTGGCCTGTCTGAGGAAGTCTGGGGAATAGGAGTACCCGAGGCAGTCTGGATGAGGGAGGGGGAATAGCAGTGATGAGGCCTACAGAGAGCTGGGTGCCCTGGAGATCTACAGTTGAATATATATATATAGAATATACATATATAGAAGTTGTAGGGAGGCTTGAGGGGTTAAGGAAAGCAACTGGAGGGCTTCAAACAGGGAGCAACAGTGCAGCTTGCCCTTGTTGCTGTGGCAAGAGTGGACAGTAGAAAGGGCAGAATGCAAAGTGGGAGATAGAAAAGAGATAACAGAAATTGTCCTGATAGCTTGGTCTCAGGTGACAGCAGCAGGGAGCATGAGTAATATGTGAATTCTGGATTCATTTGGAAGATAGAAGCTGACAATATTTACTGATATGTTGTCTGAGGGGAAAAGAGGAGACAAGAACTATGCCAGTGTTTTCTTAACTGGAGTGAATAGCTGTTATCAGCCATGAGAAAGTCACAGGGTGGTTGGGGGTAGAAAAAGGCACTGAGAGTTTGTTGTTTGGCCCAGCATGGTGGCACATGCTTGTAAACCCAGATACTCAGGATACTGAGGCAGGAGGATCACTTGAGCCTAAGAGTTTGAGGGTAGCCTTAGCAGTAAAGCAAGACCCTATCTCAAGAAAAGAAAGAAAAACTCATGTTTAGACATTATTACATTTGAGATATCTACTAAATATCTAAGTGGAACAATCTAGAGAGAGTTGGAATAGAAGTCTGGAGCTTTGAGGAAAGATTTGAGTAAGAGGTACAAATTTGGGAGCCACAAGTGTGTGATGGTATTAAAGCCATGGCCCTGGATGAGGCCAAGTAGGAATGAGTGTGACCAGATCTGAGAGCTAAGACTAGTTCTCACCAAGAGAACAGTCAGAGTGGGTGCAGGCTTGTGTCCTACTGAGAAGGTCTGGTGCCTCCCATGATGTGTCTCATTGATGGCAGAATTGGGACTAAAATATATTCAGAATCAATGTAGAGTTATTTCTAATTTCCATACTGCTTTTCTAGGAATGACTTTTATACTGAGAATCCTTGTTTCTTTTGTTCTTGGTAACAATTTATGACTAAGCTTTCCCTATAGCAAGCTATATTCCATACCTTTTAATGAGCTGCTCCTTCTTGAGAGACTCAGCCATCAATTTCTGTGATGGAGGTATCTTACAGAGTCCTATGAGGAAAGTTGGAAACAACACTAAAGTCACATGTTTTTCTCATTTCTCATTTCTGGCCTCCTACTGTTTACCTCAGAACAAAGCTTAGAGAGGATTTGGAATGCACAGGTAATTTTCTAGAGGTAAAATTCCCTTACCTGCACACTTATCCATGGAATTCTATTGCTAAATTGTTAGATGGATGTCTCCATGGGTCAGCACTCAGCCTGAGGCGCATACACCAGACTTCTGCACCTGCTCCAGCAGCTGGCTTGCTCTGTCTCTGTCCATCTGCTGTTGCTTTTTCTTTCTCCCTCTCCCCCTCCTTTCCCCTCCATCCTCTCCCTCTCTCTTGTTGTCTCTCTCCCCTCTCATATATATGTATATATGTATATACAGAGTATATAGTGTGTGTATATATAAATATGCACACAGAATAGAGTGTACATATAGAGTATATGTGTACAGTGTGTGTGTATATATACATACAGAATATACATATATAGAAAGTATATATAGGTACATAGATAAAGAGAAAAAGTATATACTGTCCAATGTCTAAAATGTTCTTATGTGCATTTCTTAAAGGTTATCATCTTTTCAGGTCTCAATTTGATTCACAGTATGCATTATTCCAATATCACTGGAAGGAAACAAAACTCCACTAATAGTAGTAAATGGAAAGAATTAAGAGTAAATAGATTGGACCAGAGCAGCAGAACAGGATCTTGAAGCTGCTAATACATTCAGTTAATTTGAGAGACTTGATTACACTGGGTTGTCCATATTTATCCAACCTACATAGTCAAAATGTCTTCTTCTCCTGAGTCAGATGGAGTGACATTTGCCCACATTATAATACTATACAAATCCTTAATTGCTCATTAAATTTCCCTGATAGTTTATATTACTATAGCTCACATCTGTTTGGTTGTAGCTAAATGGCAGAACACTGATGTTAAAACTCAGTTGATCTGACAGAGCTCTCACTAGAGTCAAGTTACCTTTGAAGACTCTTGTGGCCCACCTTGCTTGGAGCTCTGTGGCTGCTAAGATGGACCCAGTGAGGCTGATCAGGCCAATGATGGCGAACGTCGTTTTTTCCAGGTTTGGGGGAAAGACCTGCTTGTATAGGAACATCTTTTTTGTACAAAGACTTTTGAGAGGTTCTTCAAGAAAGGGAAAAGAAAATGTATATCCTGTAGTGAAGATCACAATATCGATGTTTGCTTCCACTGTCCCATCTTCAAAGACAGCAGAGGTCTCTGTGAACTCCTTCACGCTGGTTTTCACAGTGATTGTCCCACAGAGAATGCAGCTTGGCAGCTCATCATTCACAATAAATTTTGATGCTTTCCTTTAACACAGAGGAAAAAATATTCACTGTAATTATATGTAGAAGTTACTTCAGCAAATGTTTTATTCAGTTAGTGGAGGGAAATTACCCAATAAGTCAAAAAAAATGAATTGCCTCATGTCTAATTTTGCTTCCCTGCTCCCAGGAGAAGGCATTTGGAACATGACTAACCCTACTCTTTCCTACTTTACAATTATGGCTCCCTTGGAATTAATTTCTGAAGCAATGCTTTTCCTAAAGTGTCAAGATCAGAGTATGCAGCAAAGCATTTCATGATCAATTTAGGGTTTCATAACCCCTGGGTCTCCCAGAATGACATTAGGTAAAGAGGAAATTAGCAAGAATCTCTTTGAATAAAATTAAAAAAATGGAATCTATTTACACAGATAATTATTTTCATCATTCTACCTAATGATATTAGACATACTATCTCTATACAATTTACACATCAAAATATGTTTTGCCATTAGTTTATTTTTTAAAGTTGAAATAAATCTTACCAAAGGATATTTGGGTGAAAAATAGAATAAAAATCACATTTAATGTCTTTACATACACTTCAAAAGTTTTCTTTTCCAATGTACAAATATATACAAAGTTGTATTAAAATATGTTATTTCAGGAATTCCTATTATAAACTTGAGTAATAAACATTGATATCCAATAGAGTATTTAGCCATAAAGAAGAATGAAGTACTGTCATTGGCAGCAAACTAAATGGAACTGGAAGACATTAATTTAAATACAATAAGCCAGATACAGAAAGACAAGTAAAACATGTTTTTCTTTCATAAGTGGAAGCTAAAATTAGAGTAACAACTACTGAGGATTGGGAAAGATGTATGTGGGGTGGGTAGAAAAAAGAAATTTGAATTTGATCTGTTTATACTATACATACACATATGGAATCATCATACCAAACCTCATTAATATGCACAAAAAATACAAGTTAAAAGTAAAGGTTTTTCCATGAAAATAAAGACAATAAGTACCCCTTCATAATACTTAAGCCATAATTCTCATGGTTAAATATTTTATTCAGCTTCCTCTGTTGAATCCAGCTTACAAAACATGAAGGCAGAACTTGTGCAATCAAATTATTGCATCTTGTTGTTGATATCATGGTATAAGGGTAGCCTTCATCTGAAGAGCGTCCTAAAACCCAGGTGCCAGTTCTAGTACTAAGAAATACCTAAGAAATAAGGAAAGAAAGATAAATACATATCCATCCCTTTGTGATATTTTTCTTTGCTGTATTTCACATGCTCTTATAACCTTCTGGTCTTCTAATAACAGAGAATATTTGTGAATTTGTTTATAGGTCTATGCATAAATATATGTTCCTGTTGCTGCCATTGTTTGGAAAAATACTCTACATATATGTATATATATTACTTTCATTATGTTTATGGAATTATATAAATAGAATTATAATATTTGTAGATATATGTATTGATCTACTAGTTTTTTTTACATGTGAATAACAGAATTTAAAAGGTTTAGAAAACCAATTTGGCCTGAGTTAATTACAAATTTATTCTTTCCAGTACTAATTGTACTCCTGTGATGTATACTAAAGTGGAACAGATATTTAAATTGTGAATCTTACGTTTGGGCTTTCTGAACATTATGTATACTTTTTTGGCAAGGTAAATGTAGCTTTTATCTGAAAACAAGGTACACATTTGATTTCTAATAGAAAACTTGGAGACATTTGGATAACACCTTCTCCTTTCTTTTTTTAACATGAGATTCTTGCCATGATTACAAAGGACAAGAATCAAAGAAAGATAAGTGCCTTGGGTGTAGCAATTTGTCTCCTTCAAGGAGCACATCTGGAAAATGCCGCGTGGCCTGGCATTCACAAAGTGTTCCCAGACTCTTTTCTAGAGCTAGTGTGACTGTATAAAGTGTGGTCTCCTAAGTGGTTCAAAAAAGACCAAGAGCGGCTTTGAGGGATTTTCATGATTTTTTCACTCACTCAACGTCTGCATCACTTAGCGATTGGCCAATGTGTTCTACAGTCTTGAATCTGTGTCTCCGGCCACCACACACAGTGACGGAGGCAGCACTGATGCAGAAAGGCTGTACCTGAGCTGCTGTTCGACTGAGCTCCACTGCGATGTCCCCTCCCGTGTTCCCAAGCCCAATCACCAAGACACGCTTGCTCTGGAAGGCTTCTGGAGTCCTGTACTCTTGGCTGTGCAGGATCTGCCCTTGAAACTTATGGACTCCTAAAGGAGAGGAGAGGGTCAGACAGTGTGGAATATTTAAAGCTGAAATTCCTCAGTATGCAGGGTTAGGGTCAGTGGGAAAAGGGAAGCACCAGAAGTAGGGCAGCCCTTTGGTCCTGGCCCTGCCTTTGGTGGTAGGACGTAGAACAAATGTGATGCTCCTCTCCTGGGATGCAGCGAGTCCAGGTACAGATTTAGTGCAACCCTGTACAAAGCTTCAATCAAAATGGGTCAAAGAACTAGGTAGGTCATTTTTAGGGTATCACAGAGTACATGATCTACTCTATCAACCTTGTCTTCAAGTTTTGACAGTCTCTCCTTAGACCCATCCTTTCTGTTGCCCATACTTTCAATTCAGTTTTTCATATCTAGGATTTATGCTTGATTCCTTTTCTTAATCTGTAATTCTTTACTAAAGTGCTCATTCATGTCTTGCCTTGCCTTTAATTCAAACAACATGTTACATCTTCTGTAAGCTTGTTGAATTTTTTTTTATTAAATCCTTTATCTGTTTATTTACATATTCTTTAAGCTCACTGAGTATCTTTTTGGATTTGCTTATTTGTTTCTTCTTTCAACTTTTCAAATATTTTAAACAAACATTTAAACGTTTTGATTTTTTTTTTTTTTTTTTTGCCTGAATTGTCCTACACTTAAGTGCCCGTGATAACTGGCTTTTGGAGAGTGCAGTTTTTGGAGGTATCTTGTTGCTCTGCTTTCTCATGTTTCAATGCTGAGTGGTGAAGATCAGTTAGGATAGAAAAACACTGCTGCTCCTGTGGAGATCTCTTTGATAGAGTTCTCTGGTAGATAAATGGCTCTGGCAGCCCCACATCCTAAATGGCTCTTCCTGGCAGATAATAAATCACTCAGGGAAACAATAACCTAACTTTCCCACCACGAAGCTCTCCCACTTATAGTCCTTCCCACTGAAAACTTTAAACTTGCCAATGAATTTAAACCTCATCTCTGGCTGCAGCCAAACATCTACCTCCACTATGCCCCCCCACTCTTATGCCCCTGGCCCATATAAGACCTCACCTAGCCAGCCCCTGGCCACTGCTCTCACCATTGTTCGTGACAGCCCGGCACCCCACCCCCTAATAAAGGCCTACTCTCAGGTGTTTGTGTTTCCGGCTCATTCTCATCCCATCACTCTTTAGTTAGTGTGTACCTCCCTGTGATGTGATCTTGGTTAGGTTGTGGTGTTCATGCATCCATTCAATCTACTCAACATAATAGGATTGGTCTCTGTCACTGTGTTGCAAAGATTAAGAGAAGAACTACCAGTTATATCAGCATCTACAGAGCCAACCATACATCAGTCATAATTTTGAACTTACTTTAACAATTTCATACTTTTTCAATAACCCAGGAAGACAGTGAAATAGTAGGAGACAGTGACAAGTAGGCTGAAGTGAGAGGATGAGGGGAGAAGGAAAGAAGAAGAAAAAGGAGCAAATAGTTCAGAAAGAAGGGAAGAAGGAAAAAGAGACAACAACAAATTAATAAGAGATAGGAAACAGGATTTTGGTGATATTATTTTTATATTTGGAATGGAGGAGGGAGGAGAGGGGATTTGAGAGGCAGGGAGATTTACAGGGGTAGGAGAAGAGAAGAAGAGGGAAGGAAGTGTGGAGATTGGAGAAGCTGGAAGAAGTTTGAAGCTGATTAATATGCTCATAGAAAGCTTGTGTTTGAATCCTGCACACAAACTTTTTGGTGAGAATTTACCTGACATGATCTTGAGAGATACTATCCAAACTAAAATACAAATTCTTATTCTCCATTTCACATATACACAGACACATACAGACACACACACACACAGACACACACACACACACACACACGATGAAAAAAGGGGTAAAAAACCCCACACATACAAAAGCACCAAAGTAAAACATCCTCTTAGTCCATTTATCCTTCAGTCTGAATTTGACCAGTTGTGCTCTAGCCACTTTAGTTCAAAGATGGTGAGACTCTGTCTTGTAGGAAGTGGGGGGCTGAGCTCCATTCCTCTGAGGTTGTGTCTAGAAGGCTGCATGCTTTGATTGTGGTTAAGGCAGTTCCCTTTCAGTGATTTGTTCTCTTGCCTACCAGTGCATGAAGGGATTTGGGGGTCTGGGAAGACCCTTGGGCCTGCTCCTCTTTTCTGCTGCAGGCAGACAGACCTCTGGTAGGCTTCAGCTGTGCTCCTGTGAGCATGACTAGCCAGAGTTTTTCTTTTTTTTCCCTCTTCTGTCTTGTGATCCATCACCTTTATTAATATCAGAGGTAGAGAGGGCACAGCAAGACTGGTGAAGAACCCAGCATTCTGCTGGACTCTGGAGGGGCTTCTTCGATCTTTGTCCCTACTTCTCTGTGATAATCCCTGTGGCTGCTTATTTCTACTCTTTCTGTGTCTCTCTGGGTAAGCACACCATGCAACACCCTTTGACTCCCTACTTCTCTCCAGCTCTCTGCCTGTGCCAAGTTCTATCTTCACCTTTCACCCTGCAAGCTCAGTGACCTTTCTGGCGTGGTGGAGAAGAGTTCTTCTGCTTGGAATTCAGTAGCGTTTAGGGAGGGAGCTCACATGGGTATCGAGCTCAGCAGTTTTCGGTGAGCAGTGGGATGGATCCTGCATGACACCTAGCTCTGTGGCCTTTGGAAGGCAGGCCGTGGGAAGGGGGTAGGGGGCGAGGTTGGGTACCACAGTTCACAGAGGTGGTGGCATTGGTGCAGGCAGTAGGAGAGCTCCCCCTCTGGTACAGTTCCAGTGTCTTTTGTCCACCCCCTAGATCATACTGATCACACTTCATGCCCCTGCAACTCGCTGTCCCAGAGATTGCTCAATGCCTAGTTCAAAGTCCTTGTTTCTTCCTGTCGCTAGGGCTCACTGATATAACTCAGTCATTACTCACCGAGTGATCCTCAGCCTTCCATAGTGTGCTCATCTGAGGAGGCACTCTCCTGCCAATATCTTGCTTGCTGAACTCCATCTCCCAGTGGGAAGGGAGCTAGGGCAGGTGTGCACTGGGTGGTGACTACAAGGCTGGGCACCTAGTTGCTGCTGCTGTACTTGGCTTCTTCTCTCAGGGGGTTAGATTTTTCTCCCAAGATGGCCAGATCACCAGACCTGAGCTGTAAACAGTGTCAGCATCCAGTGGCAGCTCTGTTCCTTTCTCTACACACCCTTGAGAGTAGAATTAATGTGGTGGGCTTCTACTTCATGTTGCCTTCCTTTGTTTGAAGTTTTTGTTTGCCCCTCGTTTCTGAGTACCTGTGGATCCTGGTGAGCTTATTCTGAGCATTTCATGAACACGGCTACTACTGAATTCCAAGCAGAAAAGTGCAGATAGAATTTGGCATCGGCGGAGAGCCTACTGGATTGGTTTAGCATAGTTCTTCGTATGTCCAGATGATTGGTGTATTGAAGAGGAAAGACCCACCCTGGTGTGGTACCAACCAATAGTCTTATAGCCTGGATGGAATAAAAGGGGAAAGAAGAAGGAAGTCTCACTTTTGGTTCTTCAGTGGAGCTCTAGGCTTCACCATTCCCTTTGGATGTCTGTCTCCTTGCTTCCAGCACAGACCCTTCAGTTTCCCAAAACCAATTTACACGGGACTGTGTAGTGTGTTCTAGGCCTTTGATTTTTTTTTTTCCTTTGGTACCAGGGCTCGAACTCGGGTCCTTGCGGTTGTGCAGCAGGTGACACCACTGAGCTAAATCCCTGGCCCTGGCCTTTGATTTTTGACTGAATCCTCTGTCTCTCCAGTGTGCAGGCAACCCTTATGCATTTTTCCACCCCTGATTGTGCAGGTGGTCATTGAAAGCCTACCTTGAAAATCCTTTATGTATGTCTTTAATATTAAATCTTTTCTGTAGTGAACCTGATACACCTGCTGAGGTCCCCAAAGCCAGAAACTGAACAACAGTAACTGTATTCCAAGTGAGGTGCTAAACCAACTGGGCAGAGTCTGTGAAGAATGTATGTAAAGAGTAGTTTTGTGATCCCTAGCTTCATATGTGCTTTGAGGGTCTTAAATAGTTGAAGCTGAGGTGGCTGGGAGTTTAAAATTGGACAATTGATGAAAGAAATTTTTAAAGTGCCGTGACATTTCCTGTCCCATTAACATGGAGCCAGGTATGAGCAGATTCAAGAGAATTTCACCCTTGGAGTCTATGGGAGACTGGGTTTTGACCCATGCTTGAAAGGGGATGAGTAGAACTGCATGCAAGGGATGGTGGCTGCACTGGCAACAGAGTTTCTTCCACTGGTGATAATGTGAGACACACCTTTCATGTGGACCAGATGGTGATCGTGTAGGAGAGAACCAATCTGATGTCAACTTAAAGGGATTTTGTACAACATGGTACCTGAGCAGACAATGAGACTTCAGCAGAGGTGGGGTTATATGTTCCTTTAGACTCCAGGGCATCAGTAAGCCTGAGCCCAACATCATTTGCAAGCTTCTTGTAAAATTATGGATTGCATTCTTACTTGATTCTTAAACACATTTTTGAATAGGATATTGTTTATTTGTGATTCCTTTAATAGGATTTAGGTTTCATTTTTTTCTGCAAAAGTCTGCAAGTTTTAGTCTTCTTACCTTTCCTTTCATATAAATTCCTTCAGTCCTTCAAAAACTTTTCACAATTTCACTTACTTAATTGGCTTCAGGGCTACTAATAAGTTACAGAGAGGGGTAGCTTTACTACATTTTAGTAATCTTCATTTGACTAATTTTATTTTCTACAGCTGAATTTGAATAGGTTTCAACTTTCTAGATAATAAATTATGACCTCAAAAAAATGAAGATTTTGCCAGTCGTGAGTACATTAAAAAGAAATGTGCTGTTGGAGTCAAAGTATTTGCAAAAGGGAATTCTAAAACACATTCTTGTGGATGACCATGATCTAAGAGGAGTAATGGATTATTATTATGGTGACTATTTTGAAGAACAAATATGTTCCCTTACATGTATAACTTCTGGGTTGTTTCCTTTTAAAACTGTGTTAAACTTCCATATATTCTCCCTTCAACCTTCAATTACTGGTCAGTCCTGATTCCATTAATCTGTAACTCAATTCCCAAAATCAAAACCTCTGTCTTATTTTTTCCATTACATATTTCACAGTTTCATCTTTATTTGATCACTGAACTTGACTTTGACATGCAAGATAAAGCTCAAACAATAACATTAATATGAATAAATTAATAAGACCTGAAACTTATGTAGTGCTTGTACCTTTCAATGTAATTTTGTAGATGTTACTTTTGAGAGTGAATATAAAGTTGTCTATAATCACATGAAAGTATTTCCAATTGCAAATCAGTAAATTTTCTACCAGAAGAACCCAAAAGAGTAGGAACAGTCTCTGGTGGGAATGACTCACCAGGAAAGGACTCCAAAGGTAAATGGGGATTCAGGTACTGTCCAGTACAAACCATGACAGCATCAAAGACAGCTCTTTTCTGCTTGCCCTCTGTCTCTGTGACAATGTCCCATTGTCCAGTTTCAGAGAAGTCTGGACACTTTGTTACACTGCACACAGTAGTCTACAAGTAAAGGACAAACAATTGTCAGGTACAAGAGTGCACAGCTGTTACTCAGCACTTGGGAAGCTGAAATAGGAGAATCACCAGTTTGAGGCCATCCTGGGCCATATAACAAGGTCCTGTCTCAAAAAACCAAAATTCAAACAACAATGACAACAACAACAACAACAACAACAACAGAACAAAACCAAACAAACAAGAGACTCACCTTCCTACCAAAACCTTTGAACCTCATGTAATAACTGACATGGTACCTTTATCTGTTACTCTAAATATACCATGTCCTGTGTTAGGAGGTCTGTAAATACTATTTTATCTTGTTCACAGAAAAGTTAAGGAACTTGTGCAAACACTCAAATACAGTAATGTATAGACCAGAACCCAAGACACCAGAATGATTTCATAGGAAAGAAGAGTCAATTTTTGTTCCTGCTGAGAAGTAAATAATTTACGATATCTGATACATTGGAAAAATTTAGGAAAATGTGTTTTGCTGAATTATAATTTCTATGGTTCAGACTTTTAGTTACTTCTTCTCAATTACTTCATAAACAGAATTCTTTAGCTCTCAGAAAAAAAATTTCTGAATTTCATCCTCAGTGAAAATTTAGCATTTAGAGGAGGAACCAGGAAATTCAGCATTTTAATGATTCATTTAGGTAAAACAGGAGGAGCAGCAGGAGGAATGAGGGGAGTTTGTTATCTGCCTTACTCATGTAGAGATAAAAATCAAGATGTTCACATAAACATCTCATTTCTATCAGACTGCTAAGGCCAGGCCTCATTTATTAATTTTCCATAATCCAAAACATCTTACCTTGAACTCAATGTATTTGAGGAGACCAAAGTGCTCAGCATATTCTTGGAGATAGTTCCAAAATTTCCCATGGTTCATGAAATTGGGATAATTTTCTTGGTATGGAAAGTCACTATAACTTGACATTTCCTTGCAGACATTCGTTACTAATGACTTGTAGACCCTGGTCATCCTGTCTTTAGACTCTTCCTGTGGTGAAAGTGTAGTTAGCTTGACAGAATGGAAGAGACAGGAACAAGTGAAAAGAGATTTTGCTGGCCAATGCCAGCCCAGCAGGAAGGTTTTTCCAGCAGAATGCTACTTGTCATTTTAAAGATTTCCAGAAAACCCCCTATTAGATCTCCATAGTATAATGATGAGAAATCATTAATAGAATTGGAACAATTAAATACAGTGTCTTTCTCAAACCACCAAGAACAAATGAAATTAGCTGATCACATTTATCTCTTACTGATTCCATTCTCCATTAGACTGTAAGGAGGTCAGGATTCCTGTCTGTATTGTGTGCCACTGTGTCCTGGCAGAAGGATATGATAAGTATGTGCCAAAGACTGGAAATGAATAGCACCATTTTGTTTTGTTCTTTAAAATTTATGTGACTGGAAAGATTACATCAAAATTTTAATAATCTTGAGCTGTAGGTATTGTTACTACATGTAATTTTTATTTTCTTATGTTTAACTCTATTGTTTTCTAAGATTAATTTATATCACTTTAGGATAGGAAAAAGGACATCAAATCAACTGTAGATTTACCTGTAGCAGCAGCTACACAAAACCAAACCAATGCTTTCTTCACATTTTGGCATTTGTTGCCCGAGGAGGCTCATGGTATACCAGAAAAAGATTTCTCTCTCCACTCCACTGCACTAGCATTGTAATCCTAGGGTTTTGGCCATTCCTGGCTACACACATTTGCTTATTTTGTAGTCTTTGCTATCCATCCAAGATTCAGCAAGTGTCATATTTTCCATGAAAGTTTCCATTATTTATCCCAATCCAATGGATGTGGCTCTTCTGTTTCTCCCTTAAGCATTTGCTACTTTGCCTGCCTGGATTCTATCTTTGTACTTAAGAAGGATTGGCCAATTCTTGGGTTATTTTTCTTCTGATAATGTGAAAGCTCTTCTCCAACCCCTCCAAGGACTGGGATCCTGATTGATTCTCTTACTAGTTCTCTTCCCAAAGACCTGACAGGGATAGGGATCTTCACATCCTGATGCAAACTTCCATTCTCCCTAGTGTAATGTGCTCCATATTCTCTAATGCTATTTAGCTTAATTGAAACAGTACTCTGCTACTTTTTTTTTTTTTGATACCAGGAATCCAAACTAGGACCTTGCGCTTGCCAAGCAGGTGTGGCACCTCTGAGCTAAATCCCTGACCCAGCTACTTTGTTTTATTATGTCCATGGTCCAGAAATAATCATAAACTTCCAACACCATGCTTGTCTGTCAGACTTAACTCCTTCCTCTCTCCCCATATCCCTGACCACACCCTGCCTATTCTCTTGGCTCCTCATT